TATATATATATATATATTTTAATGAAAGGGTTAACGTGTTCCCCCAATACACACAATAAGGAGTAATCCATTCAAAGATTGTTAAACAAAAGACTCTTTCGTTTTTGTTCATTATCATCAATACCATAAGAAACATAGCCTTCATTAAACAGGTTCTTATAATGGGAAGTGTTGGGTAACCTAAATAGGTAGTACTACCAATCCCACCGTTAATAAACATCATACCATTTTAACTAAGTGAAAACTATGTGCAGTAACCATGGTAACAAAACAGAAATAAAAATTACCACTAAAATTTTAAGCCCATTAAGCATCTTTAGTCAAGTTTGATAGACTATTTTCTGAGAGTTGTGATTCCTGACCTGCTTAAAGAAAAAATGCAGGTATTCTCTTCTCAGCACACAGGGTCTATCATGTCTAAAGTTAATCAGAAATTGCAGATATGTTGTCAAGACTTAGGGTGCATCTACACAGCACCTAAAACTCAAAATAAGATACACAATTTGTGCTATGCAAATTGCGTAGCTTATTTTGAGTCTATTTCAAAATAACTTATTTCATCATTTGGAGCTGTCGACACAGCACCAAATTTCGAAATACAGCACTATTTCGAGCCATCCCTTACTCCTCATACAGTGGGGTTTACAGGGATGGCAAAATAGCGTGTCCGCTATATTTCAAGATAGCGGACGCATTCAGAAGACGCAGGGTAGTTATTTTGGGATAACTCTGGTATCCTGAAATCACTTTGCAGTGTAGTGATACCCTTAGAGGCAAAAACAGACCTCACTTTATGCATTAACTCAGTACATATCAGGCATAATAGATTATATACTGGATTTAATGTAGACAAAATGTGACTTCTAATGTTTCTGGGTGAAATGCTTCCGTTTTCTTGACCAAATTCCATTGAAAATGTACAGGTGCACACTATGTCCCATGTATTATCTGTGCTTGCCAGCTGTAGAACTTGTCTTGGCAACATAATAATGATGCTTCCTCTTGTAAATATTTCATTAAAGAGCATCTGACACCATATGTCCAGAGATCTTATTTGAATTCATCACTGATCAAACATTAGAAATACCATTTGCGGGAGGGGAGGTTGGCATGTTTGTGAATCATAGCCTTACTTTGCTGTAGCTTCAGAGGGATAGCCGAGTTAGTCTGTAACAGGAAAAATTTAACAACAAATAGTCTAGTAGCACCTTAAAGACTAACATGTAGATGGTATCATGAGCTTCCCTTATGTATTCTTGAATCTGGACTTCTAATACTCCAGTCATTTGAATAAGTGGGTTGCGCCCATGAAAGCTCACAATGCCATTTGGACTATTTGTTGTTTTTTAAGTTTTTGCTGTAGCGTATATTTAGGCTTGGCAGAATTTCATTTTTATTTTGATGGATAATATTTTAAGGGTTTTTGCTGTGTGTTGACTTGAATTTCCCACAACTGTGAAAATTTATGGGAAATCAGGCAATAGGTAGGGGGTAGGATAATTATTTAATGACAATAAATACTGAGACTCAATGTTAAATCTTTTTAATAGGTAAAACATCACCTGTCAAAATATAAAGTAAATATCCTTATGCTCTAATATGCTCAAGCAACATTTTTCTTTTTGCCTATCTGTAATTTTTTATTATTAAGGATAGGAGATACTACTTTTGATGCTTATGTGTCTGCCATGGAAGCAAAGTGTACCAATATTTGTCAGTAAATGTCAGTCCTTCCAGTACTATTTACATTGCAGCCTTAAGTGGTGGTTCTGCACACTGCTGGCATATAGTGCCCTCATCTTGAGATGGTAGGAGCACAGGTGCTGGAACTAGGAGTGCTGCTGCACTTCAAGTCTTGAAGTGGTTTCTATCTTATACAGAATTTACAGTTCCGGTTCAGTGGCTTTCAGTACCCACCACTGTACAAATCATTCCAGCACACCAGGATAGGAGTTAGTACGTGCTGAGTCTAGAAATAAAGATGAGGGTGAAGGTGATACTGGAAAATGTGTGCTGCTTAATATAATGTCATTAAGACAGTGCAGGTCTGTCTGAGGCTTTCTCTACACTGTCGGTGCCGGCAGAGTATGCAGATGAAGTGCTGATTAGCATTTGTCACTTCATTTACATAATCTAGTCAAGCCATTTTTGTGCAAAAAACAAGCAGTGTGGATGTTTCTGTTGCGCAAAAACCCCTTTATGCGCAAGATCCTTATCCTTCTCTGGGGAAAAACCCTTCTGCAAAACCGGCTCAAATAGATTATGCAAATGAAGTGTGACAAAATGCTAATCGGTGCAAAAGCCGGCAGTGTAGACATAGCCTTAAAGTTCTGGGCATTCTGAACCCATAACATCATTATCTTTGGCTCTCTGCTTTAGGATTGGAATCTATAAATACAAGACATTATCTTCATCATGTCTTAAGTTTCCAACAGTAAACTAGCATGTCTCAAGAGTTCCCTCTCTTAATGAAAACATGAACAAAACTCCAAGTAGTACATTTCTTTTTGATATAAGTATGGAGCAACCCTGAAAGCAGTACTTAATAATAAATCAGCTGAGGAAATGAGCCACCAGTATGGGTTCATAACCTCACTGAGAAATAGCCATTCTCAAGAAGATAATAACTGTTACTGGAAGGCAGAAATACTAAGTGTTGTTTCTAAAACACCCTTATCCTATCATGACCAGATAGTTGAAAAACAAGCACTGCTATTACTAATTATTTTTTTCATGAATCTCTTAGATGCCAATGAATCCACTGAGGACTTGGATAGTGATAGCTCATCACTCTCGTCTGAGGAAGAAGGGGAAATACGGGACAGTTCTTGAAAAATCTCTTTTGATAGGAGGAGATGTGGTCAGCATTTTGTAACTTATTTTTTCCATTAAATTTATTTTGACAATTTTGTTTTAAGGGCAACATTTTTAAAACCGGATGCCTAACTTTAAGGCAAGTCCTAGCCATGCATTTCCATTCATCACTATATAGCTCTAAGATACATTCATCTTGTGTAGTAATCTTGGACATCTAGCTTTTTTCTTTACATCCCAGCTCCGTATTTCTCAAACAGAACTTAAAAATCTTGCTGTTGACTTACGTGCCTAACTTTTGACTCCTATTTTTTCAATAAAATCTTGATCTAAATGTTTTTCTAGTTGGACTTACTTTTTACAGTATTTCTTTGCCATGCTGAGCCTCTATAGACTGTCATAATTCCTTATTGACTATAATGTTCATTTGTTAACTATTTGTATGTTTAGTGCAGTAAATTTAACTTTTCATGTTTAAGAGCTTAACACATTGTGCCAGGATCCTGTGAGAACCACTGTCTTCTGGCTACAGCAGTAGTGCACTTTTGAAATGTTAGCCTGAGGTTGTTTTAAATTAGCGTAAGTTTGAAAATCAATAGAACTGAATAAATTCACTAAATGCAGGTAATGCTTATACATTTATGGCTTACAAATATTGCTTATTTTGTGTATCTTTATATTGTGGTTTCATCTGTTGAAATCAGATATTGTAAATATTTCCTAGTTTTAATGGATTATCTTCTCAGATTTATCTCTAATTTAATATAAATAAAAGATGCTGCATACAGATTCATGTAACACATCGCTTGCTGGCAAAAAGCATTTGCAGTGAAACTCTACAATACACTTTGATTATCCCATGTCATGAATCACTTGATACCTGCCAATCTATTTTTGTGTTAGATCCTGAGTCTATGGTATCTGCTGTAGGGAGACAGCACCCAGGGTCCAGTATAGTGTAGGCGATTTGCACATGCAGAGCTGCTTGCAAGATCAGGACTTGTGAGTAATACACTTATGTAAAGTAAGTTCACAGCTCATTGCTGTTAAATCCCTTACCTTCTTTCCAGTTGAGGATGATCCAAGTGATAGGCACTTGGAAAGCCAGTCCTTGATTATTATGAGGCACATAGTGGCCTCATGTTGTGTACTCCCAAATACACATAGAAAACCAGTCCCAGCAAAGGGCATATGGTCTAAATAGGAAAACAGAGGTGAAAGAATTTGTCCAAAATCACATAATGGGGCAGTGGCACAGCCAAGAAGAGAACCTAGCTCTACTGACTACTGCTCTTGTGTCCTATCCCACTGATCCATTATGCTAGCTCAGGAGTGGGCAAAATTTGTGGCCAGAGGGCCACATTTGGAAAGGGAAATTATATGGCAGCAGGAGATTGGGGTATAATAGGGGGCTCACGGTAGGAGGTGGAAGTGTGAGGGTGAGTTCTGGTTGGGTACCATTGACCTTGGACTACTACGGGTCAGCAGCACAGTGGAGCTAAGGCAGGCTTCAACTCCGTCCTGGCTCTGTGCTACTCACAGAAGTAGCTGGTAGTAGCAGCTCCTGAGGACGGAGGCACAGGCGGCTCCGTGTGCTCCCCTCCCCTGTAGGCACCACCCCCACAGTGTCCATTGGATGCTGTTCCCCACTCCTGGCCAGTTGGAGCTGCAGGGACGGTGTCTGCTGTTGAACCCTCTGTCCAGCTCCCCTCCCAGGGGCTGCAGGGATGTGCCAGCCACTTCAGAGCAAAATGAGGCCATGGCACACACAAAGCCTGCCTTAGTCCCAGTCTACAGACAGATTGGTAATCCTAAAAACAGAATCAAAAGCCCTGCGGGGCTGGTTGTGGATTCTGGGCCATAGTTTGACTACCCCTGTGCTAACTTCTTACCCATTATGCTCTTCTTTGAAGACTTTGGGCATGCTGATCGAGAATAACATGTGACCTGATGTCCCTCCACCCTGATCAGGTTTTCCGCCAACTTTTATGGGTGTAAGATACGTTTTGATCACCTCCTAAGAATCAGGTACTCCTCAATGCACCATTCAGTGTGCCATCCAGCTAATGAACTGTTAGGGAGAAGGTCGATGCCTTGTTAGCACTGGTCAGTTGTAGCATACGTGCCATTGCTTCTGACAATAACCCACGTCCTCTTTCCCCAGCGCCTCCCCCCCTCAGTATACCAATCAACATCTGCATACCTCCCTAGTTGCATTTGATGGTCTCCGTCGCGAGAATCACAGGTCCGATGATGAATACCCAAGGGGGGAAGGACAGAACCAGGTGGACAGTTTTATCAAATAAAAAATATTTATTTATGACCGTGGTGAATTTATAGTATTTATTCTAAGATTTTAATAGACCGTGTTAATAATGAATTTACAGTATTTATTATATTTATTCTATGATTTCTAGTTAAACGTGTCAGAGATATAAGGATGGGAATGGCAAGGGGAATAGTCTCTAATCTTAAAATATCCAGCTACACTAATTAAATAACAGTGATAACTACAAACTCTATGTACTACCCAAAAACAACTACAACACTAAGCTTATACAACAAGAAAAAATCAAATCATATAAACCAACTTACACAGCACACGGAACATTTCACAGATATCGGTTTGGTTGTGAAGGCCTTGGTTACACCCGAGAGTCGGGGGAGGGGGATGGTCGGTTGATCAGGCCAGCAGCGCTTTGAAGTATACGAGAAGGCACACGCACAGTGGTACGTGTGTTGCGAAGACCTCGTAGAGCAAACCGTGCGATGGGTATTTATCCCCAAATCTGCACATTGCTTTCCCGCACTTGCATATTACCATATATGGCCCAATGGTCACCAAGTGGGGGGGTCGTCTGTGTCCCAGGGGTAGGGCCGAAACTGCAGGTTTCATGCGACCAGGTAAGCCCCGCAGTTCTCACGGCAAGGTGATGGGTAGGAGAGTCTGAGGCTATTTTCCCCTTTTCACACCTTCCCTTTTTCTAAAGGCAATGGTATGCAGGAAGGGTGTGGCCAGTTTCTCTCAAGGAGTACTGCAGCCCACTATAGCAAGAACGGTCTGGCCAAACTTTTTTACTGGGGGAGCAGTTTCTTTTCTCTAACAGTCTCAAGGGAATCCCACCTGTAGTATCCAAAGTGATTGGAATTGGAAATGAAACCACAGAATCATATCTTTTAACTCCTCTCTCTGCCCTGAATTCTTAGTAAATTCAAACCATGAAACTTCTCCTTTTCTGGCGATAGTATTCTTTATCCTGCTTCATTTATACAAGTCACAGTAATGGAGAAAAAGAACACAAGATGATAAGCTATTTTTTATCCACTTTCCCAAGGATTTTTGTCCATATCTGTAGATAATTTCGTGTTACTTTCACTTCAAATGAAATATTAGGCCTTTCATAATCACTGATTACTGCATTCAGGCTCAGTAGCCACAAGTTACTGGAAACAAGTCTTGCACCTGTTTTCATAAATATGCATGAGCAATAAACCAGTCATTTTAATTAAGCACTATAACTGCAAAGCTTATGTGATAAAGTTAGTTTCATCTGTGGAAGGTAGTGGGATTCCTGTTCTTAAGATTCATGGGATGCAGTGGAAATTACAATGCTACAGATATTAGCAAACAGGGCACTTCATCTATGTTTGATTAATATTTGGCTGAGGCATGTGATTTTGTAGTAGATACAATTTGCATTACTCTTCTAAATGGTTGCCATTTTTCATTAAGTGTTTACACCAGTCCAATTTAAGCTCTTCTGTCACAGGTGAACAAACCCTGATTTGTTTTAAAAAGTAAATACTGTTAAATCTGCCTTTCAGATTGAAAGTGTTCATTGCTTTAAAATGGTAAAATAAATACAATTGGGGGATAATTATTTTGGGTGTAATTAGAAATAAAATTCATCAGCGCAAAGCTGCAAACATGTCACTGAGGCTTTAGCCATATAGATGGAATTAAATCTTATTTTTTAACAGCAGCATTTGACATTGTTTTCCAGACTGCCTTCAGTCATTTTTACCTGAGCTACGAGTGGAAGAACTACTAGCAACAAAATGGTGCTACCAGTTTGAACAATGGGGATAATACAGAATTTCCTCCAAGATTACTTCAAACAGTGTTTTAATTTCTACAGTATTTGCTAAATGTTTCTTTTGAGGCAGATGCTCAAACTGAAACAGTAGGTTACTGTTGATGCATGAGTAGATCCATTTTACACCCAGCATGGTCAACATGAAAGAGATGTCACGCTCTTTGCAGTGAAGCTAAGTGATGGGATTGGATCCACACTAGTAGAGAACTATGTTCTGTTCCCTGCTTGTGTAACCTGTATATGGGGTAAGAGTCATTGCTTAATAGTGAGCATTGTGAAGAGAACACACTTGGCAGCATAAAAAGTAAGTCTAGAATTTATGCTGTTTTGATTCCCCACTATTGTCATTTATATTTCTCTGCTCTAGGAGCGATCTCATTCTCAGACACTGTGAAGAGGGGAGGATTCTACTCTAAGGGAATCCATGAGGTTCTAGAGCCATGTGCAGAGTCTGTGAAGGTTGTAGTGGAGAGCAAACCAGCCTCTCCTAATACGGTACTGCAGTTCGTACTGGAGAATTGATATAAAAAGATGTCATTTTTATTAACTGTACCCTAGGACTTTAGAATGTTAAGTCTCATTGTGCATTCAAATGGTCTCTATTCACTATGAGTAAAATTCATCTCAGTGCACTGGGCCAGCACAAAGCCTATGAAAAACTTTAGCCCTTAGGTGAGACTTAAGTTGTGCATAGTCCCTTTGCTGGCTCCATATATTTTTATATGGAGGTATTGATAATCAAAGGCCTGATCTTGAAGGATGCTACCTGTCCTCCACTGAAGTCTCTAGGAGTTGAGTATGCTCAACACCTTGCAATATGGGGTCCCCAAAGAGTAAATATACAATTGTGACCATGTTACTTGGTTGCTGTTTGCTCACAAGAATTGCATTTTACCCTTTTAAATTCCAAACAATTTTCCTGAAAATACTTTTAAAAAAAATACACCATGAATTTTTGTTTGTGTCGTTGCTATGGAGTTTAGTTCAACTGTATGCAGATTCTGCTAATAAGGAAAAAAATGAACTGTGTACTCCAGTGAACAAAGATTACCCTATGTTTGTATTAGAATGTTGCTATGGTAGTGCATATGGTTTTGTTTGATATAAATTTGCAGTGAAATGGAAGGAAATCATATGTATGCAGGACAAACAAAAAAGAAATTGCAGCAAAGTTCAGTATAAATAATGAAACTGAAAGGGCAGTTGTAGATGATATATTAAATACAGGAAAACATCGCATGGATAATGTAGACTTTTTTCCTGCCAACTTTTTTATAATTGGTAACAACTGCTTTATCACTCTGTCACAGGTCTATACGACTGACCTGTTGGACAATGGCATAATTCGTAATGTTTTTCTTTTTTTATAACTCATTTCCCATAATAACATATTTTTTTATTATGAAAGCAAAACTCCATTGGCTAAACTTACTTTTTTTTACCAGCATGTTAATTCAGCTGTCTGAAAAGCCTATTAAATTAAGATAAACCGAAAGGACTTTTCATCAAGCTTAACTAGTATAGTGGTACAATGATCAAAAGCCACTCCAGCCTTTCCTATACCAGAGCTCCCATTGGTGCAGTGAGATTATGTATACAAAAGTTTTGGCAAACTGCTGTAGGTACAGACCTAGTGATGTTATCCTCTCAATCCTCAAGGTGCTACATTCTGATGGGGATGGATACAC